CTGGAAAGAAAAGCAAACTACCATGTGATATTGTGTCTGAGATGGTTTTAAGCAGTCCCTTTCTCTTTGTACCCCTTTTATTCCCCCCACTCCAACTCCCACCCTGAAAGGGGCAGTGAGGGGAAATCAGGGTAATTCTTTGATAGGGAGAGGAAGTTTTCCTAAGAGGATTTGGTCTGTACTAGGCTTTGTCCTTCCTAATGAGACTGCATTAAGAATAACTAAAGGATTCTTTTAGGATTCTATTAAAATATAAATACTCATCTCAATGGTTTTAGATAATTAATTATCAATAGGATGTTTGTTATTCCTGCTTCTCTTTCTTTTGCTGGGCAAGTTAATATGAACTATTCGATTCACTTTTCATTAGTGAAGAGCTTTTAAGATGTTAATCTTTTGATTAGAAAATCTGGATTGTTAATGACCTGAATCCTGAGGACTTCTGGGCTTTGAGAGGCACTTTTGTTTATCCCATTTTTCCCTCAGTTCTGGCACACGCAGGACATTTGGTTTAGAAGAACATTTGTGGGACAGTCTTAACTTGCTAGCACTTGCATCCTGTGTTTTTGGAAGTTGCTTGCTGTGCTTCTAGATGTCTTGGCTATGTGATGCTTGCTATGCTATGTCATATGTGGTGTTTTGTAATATATGGGGAATGTACTTTGTGTAGTGGGCAAAGCTAGCTCTAAGAAGTGTGGCGTCACTACAGCTAGGGTGATTCTTTGTCCACAAATGACCCTTTAATGCTTTTTAGTGGGTTAGTACGGTATGTTGACCTTACTTCTTACAAATGTTTAACATAACAAAAAAGGTTTTCTTGCATTTTTTTCATCTGGTTAATATTCCATTAATGTGACGATCAAAACAAATTAGTCTTCTGTAGTTAAACTTACTGACAGTGCACTCTCCTGCCTTTCTGCTTTCATTCTTGTTTCTTGGTTAGACTTTAGCAGAAAGTGTCTTTAACTGCTGCTTCTGACTAGTCCACAGCCTTGCAACCTGGGAAACTAGTGATACAACTGTAGACATGCTTGTATCTGAAAAACCAGGAGTTCTTGTCTTGTTTTCAACTAATTGGCAGTACACGAGTATGTTCTCTGTTGGAAGATCTCTGCACTTTGCATGCCATGCAGACATATTTTTAACATCCCTTGAAGGTAAATTTACAAGCTTGTAAAAGGAAACCGGGGTTGGTGAGATAATGCCGATTCCTGTCCCTGCGCTGCAACTGTATATGTGGAAAGTACTGATGTGGAAATGAAAGATAATACAAAGTGATATAGCTAGTAATTGTTGAAATTCAAGGCTTAATAACATTAGTTGATTAGTGTCACTTGTTTGAGCTATAACGTGGGTTAATTTGACTATCTGTGACTAAGTAGCATGACAAATAGGCACACTAGAAAGTTAGACTTTGCTGCAGATGTGATGATAAAAGGCTGCTTTCTAACAATTAGCACAAAGGCTTCAACAAAAAAGTCATCCTGAACAGTGAAATACAATCTATTTAACATACAATTAACTTGAGAAATTAGTGTAAGGAGAATAAAAAGGAGTTTAAACATATTAATAAATTAATCCACAGTTGCACTTGCTGGGATAAAATTAAGAGGACTATTCATCATTGTAACAATCTGGTGTCTGAAAGATACCTCTTTAATACTGTGATAATCATATCATGGCCTTTGATGGTTAAATATCTGGGCATCTGATGGGATGTGACTGCTTTCCTTGAAGCTTCCAATCTTTGTCAGATGAAAGAAAGGAAACCATAATAGAGCAGCCATTGTCTGTTACTCTGTAAGAGCTGCCAGCTGATTAGCAGTCCTCTAATTTTTTTTTCTTTGAATGTGCAGACTCTTTCATGTTTAAATTTAATGCTTGCTGCTTCATGCTGTGCATCTTTGGCCTGTTGGAAGCGACTGGCAAATCATCATCTCCTTGTTTTGTTTCCTGTGCCTAGTTTGGTTTTGGGAAGGGCTTAGCACCAGACTGATGCCATGTCACTCCAGTAGCTCAGTAAGAATTGCAGTCTGAATGCTAATCTGTTCTCATGTACAGTGACTCAAGAAGTGTGTTGCACGTGCGAGAACATGCCCTTAAGGCAGTTCAGACTGGGATTCTGGCCTCTGTTTGCCTGAAGGATAATGAAGACTAAGTTTTCTTGACTTTTCTGTGCATTTTGATTCCTCAGTCTGTAAGATGGAAGTTATAGATACCTGGGTTTATTAGTTGCTTTGTTCACAGTCAACAAGTTTAAGGAATGGATTTATTGAGTCAGTGCAGGGTGTTACTTATTTTTAAGATGTCAAGTATCATGTGAAATGTTTTGCTGACGAGACTTCTTGAGCCTTTTTAACTTTCCTGAGAAAGTGGTCAGTATAATTTGGAGAGACCCACACCATTTGGGCGGGGGTGAACACAGACTGTAAATGATTTCTTATATGCAGAAAAGACCTTTCCGTGTATGTCATGAGAGATATGTGATGCTTGCTCTGTTCAGCAGCTGCCAGCCCCTTTGCCGTTACTGTACAACGTTACAACATCTGAGTATCTCCACACATCCTTGCATTAGACCTTAATTGAGAATGTGGTTAGCAGCTCTAACACCGAGCTGCTAATTAGATGGGGCTGGTCTGCTCCATGCTTCTGGTGTAGGTTCTGGCCTTTACCTTTGAAATTGTACAGGACTGGGTTGGTTTAGTTTATACTTTTTTCAAAAAGAAATCGTGCTGGATCAGCAACCAGTCTGGCTCATGCCATGGCTACACTAGGCGTTTCATGGAGTTTAGGGGTAGAGCGAAGGAGAGCAGGGATTATTTTGACATCATGATGCAATCAGCTTAGCATGTAGCTTAACATCACAGCTAAGCTATATTAAAAGCCAGTGGCTGAGCTGGTAGCATAACATAGTGATCTTAAATTAAAGAAGGGCTGGGTGGATGACATGGATCCTCACCTAGCTCTTACTTCTCAGCCCAACAAGTACCCAGTGCTGTTGCTTCAGGTTTACAGTTTGCTTTTTTTCTCTTACTGGAGTAAAAATGTTCTGGGTCCAGATTTGACCTAGATATTTCTCACTGTTGGTGGCTAGCCTTCTGTAAATGACCACTGAAAATCTAATTGAACTTCTGCTGTGTCTTTCCAGCCTCAATATTGATGATGATTCCTTGTCTTCCTTAGGTGGTCTTCCACCAACTGTGAAAAGGAGAGCTTGTTTTTTAGATGATCCAGCTCATGTTCTACTTGGTTATATCTAGGTACACATGCTGACTTTGTTATAAATGGGAAGTCCAATTTCCTAGGCTTTTAAGCAGAGCTGCGGGGCAGGAGTTTTAAGGATCTTCTCTAACTATAGAAGCATGTCACATATATATTCCATTTCCCAAATAGCTGCCCTGTTAAGGAGCGCAGTTCTGTATGTGTTGAAAAAGTTGCAATGTGCATGTGGCTTGTTTTCTTTCTTCTTGCTTTCTAGAGCTATAAATAGATTTTAGGTTGTGATAGTGCAAGGAGGAATTGGCTTTCCCTATCCTTAAATGTGCCTTGTGTGTAGCAATCTGCAGAGGAAAGGCTTTTGTAGCTGAAGTATGTGATCAGACTTAGGAAAACAAGCTGTTTCTTGGCTTGGATTTGCTTAGGCAACTCTGAGTTGACAACAATATATTTCATGCCAGATAAAGTTGTCATTCCTTCGTAAGGCAGATTATCAGTGACACTGTCTGAGGGAGCATAATGGTGCAAGTGACTTCTGTAGACAGCTCTCTAGAGGCTGCTGCACAGTCTTAGTTAAAATGAAAAGAAAATGCTTCGTATGGCCTTATTGTAGCATGTTAAACAATTTTCTACAGTGACCTAAATAAAGGAAGAAATTAAAAGAGATAGAATTGAGAACTTAAACCCAAACACCCACACAAAGAAAAACAAACCCCCCGTGACTTCTTTGTGTGAAGTGACTCATTCAGAGGCAGAAGACAAGCCCCTTGCAATTGAAGTCTACTTTCCAAATATTGTAGAAGCTTGAGAGGCTCATTCTGCTGAATGGGGAGGTGTATGAAACTCAAATGTCTATGAATTGCAGCTTGTGATATGAGCCAGGCCTTACATGACTTCTGAAATGTCTTCACTAGATGTTTGATTCTGTATTTTGTTAGGGGTTATGCATTTGGAGGTGGGGAAAAAATCTAGGTGTCACTCCAAAACTGTCAGCTACTTCTTGATGTAGTTTACTGTGACAGGTACTAAATAGCTTCTTAAGCTGACATATTTTAAAACCAGCTTTTTTTGTTACTTGTTGCTTGTTTCTAGAAGACCAAATAGAAAGCCACGTAAGAGACACACTTTTACAAAGACTGTGAAGAATTCACAAAGAGTTTCAGTGTTCATTTGTAAAGCCTGAAAACTAACCTTCACGGTTCCTTTTCAGTACTCTTGAACTAGTTGAAATTCATGGAGGAAGAGTGCTTTTAAGGTTGTTGTGAACTGATGTTTGGTTTGTGCACAGTCTGTTCTTTCATCTGGATTAAAAAAGCCTGACAAGATAATCCAATTGAGATCATAATCTTGTTTATAGCTCTGATCTTGTATCACAGGAAATGCGTCAGTCTTCAGGTGAGCACTGGTACGCAAATAAAAGGTCTGGGTAAAGGAGGCTGTGGATGCCTCAAATGTCTTAAAATTGGAAATGACAAATTAGAACTTTCTTTTTTTAATAGAGTTGCAGACTGAGGTAGAAGACAAAATTCTAGAAAAGTATAGTCCCAGAAGCAGGGACAAGAACCCTGGGGCATGCGGGAAGGGAAAATGCAGATGCTGGCAGCATTGTGCGGGGGTCACTGTACTCCCAAGGCAGCTGGAAAAGGAGTTGCTTGTGGTGACTGTGGGTGAAGATGCTTTCCCTGTACTTCAGCAAGTGGGTGTGCAGGAAGCAGGTGGGGTTTGGCTCAATGGGGAACCTCTCATCTGATATCCTGAAGAAAAAAGTGAAGCAGGGCTGTTAGAGCTTCTGTAGTGTTTTTCCTGGCTGGATCTTCACAGGGAAGTCATGCCTGGAACGGTTGCGGCTTCTTGGCCAGAACGCCGGTGCCTGGAGTAAATGGAGAAATCCCTGGTCAACCTCAGTCTGTGGTACATCAGCTTCTGCCCATCTTTGCTTCATGCTGCCCTCATACAGTGCAAACTGAGATGCGCTGCCCTATTACTCTTTGTTCTGTTATTGACTTGGCTTAGCTAGGGATCTCTCATTGACTCTGAAGCTGTTATTTTGAAGATGTTTTGTTATTTCTCAGTTTTGTTTCCAATTACTACTGAGTTTTCAGTTGGAGGTCTTTTTTTCTAGTAAGCACAACTTTTATACTGGAGATGAAATTTCTCTGCCAGGGTACAGGCTGTTACAGCAGCTTTGTTGGACATGCGTAATTTTGGCAGGGACTGGCGATTTTGATTGTTGGTTGTCTGTCTTGGTGAATCTTATTCACCCTATGTGTGGTCACTCAAAGGCACTGCCAGGTAAAAGACAGGTTCATGAACTTGTTGAACTTGGTGTCAAACCACACAGTAACTGGTGGTCGTGTACTCAGTTGTTCCACCTCAAAGTTCAGCCAGTTGTTGCCCACTGTTCAAACTATTAATCATTTGTTTACTGTCTTGGGGCTAAAGTGAGATATGCTGGTAAGGCGTTTGCATGTACCGATCCCTCTGTCTGTCACATGAATAATGATATCTGTTCCAAGAACTTTGGTGCATTAGGGCACAATTGGATTTACCAGGCAGAATGAAAATAAAGCCTCAGCTTCTTTCAATGAAGCTGGAGTCTCATCTCAAATCAGTGATGTACCAGGCTCTGGGAAAGCTTTGGAGGTAGATTGATAGTTTGTAAATGAAGGAAGGTTAGAAGGCAGTTTGCTTTACCACTGATGTTTATCTCATGGTCATGATTTTCAGAGTGCATTGAACTTGGGAGCTCACACAAGAAAACCGAGAACCTTAAGCATAGCTCTTGTTGTGCAGTTAGGGAGAATAAAGGTGTAAAGGATAGTCTGGAAGACCCACACTTAAGCATAACTCTTCTGCAACCCTGCCATGCATGTAGCACTTTTCCAGTTTACAGGGCACATAGGTATATGTGTTTTGGGGGAATCAGTTTTCTAAAATTAAGTATTCCTGGCTTTTTTTCCAGGGTCACATGATTCTTTCAGCTACTGGGTTGATGAGAAATCTCCTGTGGGACCAGACCAAGCCACAGCCATCAAACGTTTGGCCAGAATTTCCTTGGTTAAAAAGATCATGAAGAAATGGTCAGTGACTCAAAATCTGACTTTCAAAGAGCAGTTGGAAGGTGGGATCCGCTACTTTGATCTTCGTGTATCTTCCAAACCTGGGGAAATAGGACAAGAGATTTACTTCATACACGGCTTGTTTGGCATCAAAGTATGGGATGGGCTGAAGGAGATTAACACCTTTCTTGAGCAGCACCCCAAGGAAGTAATCTTCTTGGATTTCAATCACTTCTATGCCATGGATGACAGCCATCACTTCTTCTTGATCAACAGGATCCAGTCAGCCTTTGGATCCAAACTTTGTTCTGTTGAATGTGTAGAATATGTGACGTTAGAGTACATGTGGGAGAAGAAACACCAGGTAGGGAAAGGATGTGTAATGTTTTTCAAACCTGAAAGGTTAAGACTTAGAGAGGCTGGGTGTGGTTCTCACTCAAAGGTATTGGCCCAAGGACACTGCTGACAGCCCATTTAAAGCCCGCTAAGGCCTCCTTTACGTAGCATGCATGTTTCCATTTATTTGCAGCTGTATAGCCCCTCCATCCATGGTGTGGCTAGACTGCATCCTGCTCCCAGGCATGTTCCTTAAACCAATAAATGATAGTATCCTCAGGGCCTTGTGCTCCTTACAAATGGTTTTCTTTTCTGGAAGAGCATGTTGTGCTGACTTGTGGTGGTGAGGATTTGATAAACCGTTGTCTTTTTGGCCAGTGTGAAGCATATAAACTTTAACATGACTAAGGTATCTACAGAATTTCTTGGCTCCTTTGCAGCCATCCATATCTATAGTGGCAGGATTAAATGCCTCTTCTCTGTGGTAACCACTCACATGTGTACACACAAATGGAGAACAGGGTTTCAGTGACTGCGTGTAATTTTTAAACTGTAAAAAAAGGTGAGGCTTTGAGGAATTCCTCTGAACTGATGCTGTCAGTGCTAGGGTCCGAAGTGAATCATTTGTAAGTTTGGGTGTTAATAACAAGTGTTGCATCTTTGCATGCTGCCCTCTGATAGTGAACCACCTTACAAGATGTAACATACAGACCTCTGATTTAGAGAAGATTTTGCTGACAACAAGACTGGCTTTGGCATCTCATGCAGTAAGTGTGAGTGGAATGCTGTTACGCCAGTCAGCCTGGTACGCTTTAGCCACTTAATAGGAGTTATGCAGAAGATGGCAAGACAGCTAAAATCCCTAACTTCAAGTACAGATGGTAATGTTCTCTGACAGTGCTTTGGAATACTCTTAAACTGAATTCTCTGAATGACATTTCAGTATATTCCTGGCAACTTTTTCATTTTAAACTGACCCTTAAAGCCTGAAGCAATTCTGTCCTCATAGCTAACCAAAATGATCTCGGTCGTCTTTGTTGGCAATTGTGCAACAAATTTACTGACACTCATGACTTGGGAGCAGCTTCTTTTTGCTTGGTCCTCTTTTAACTGCTGTGCTAGCTGCAGCAGTACTGCATAGGCATAAACAAATGCAACACCCTGTTTAAAGGTAAGGAACGTAGTTGTGAATTTTTGTTTATTTTTTCTTCTTCTTTCTTTGTTCTATTAGGTTCTCATATTCTACCACTCCCCTTTGTATCAGGAATACCCCTTCCTGTGGCCAGGGAATAAAATGCCAGCACCATGGGCCAATACAACCAACGTGCACAAACTGTTACAGTTCCTGGAGACCACTCTTGAGGAACGAAGTCGTTATGGGACTTTTCATGTTTCTCAAGCAATTCTCACACCTCGAGTGAAAACTATTGCACGGCATCTAATTCGTGGTCTGAAGAACACGCTTGTTCATAGGTAAGGACTTGTCTTGATTTCTCAGTTCTGTACTTACCACGTTTCATGTTGAAAGAGGCACTGAGCCAGCAAGAAACAGTTTTGCTTCATTACTATTGCTCGTGAGAGATATTTGCAGTCATTAAAAATAATTATTGAAAATACTAAAGTAACAGGGTATATATGTAAATGTAACTGTGCTTCCTAGTAATTGGAGCTCTTTCTGAATGCGATGTGATTTCATAAATCTTGGGCTGGACCTGTTGTTTCAAACCAGTAATTCATTCCAAATTGGCTGAACTTGAATTTAGGGGCAAAAAAGCTTGTGCTGCAGAGGAAAATAGCATATTCATGGTCTCAGTTTTGCATTTGTCTGTACAAATCTGTCTCAGTCATTTCAGTAATGGCCAAAGATATATGACACAGGGTAGTATTTTATCTTGTTTTTTTTACCAAAAATTAGATTACCAATTACACTTCTTTTTATACCACTGGCTGTTGTACAATTAATTTGCCTGTAAGATCATTAGAAGAGGGATTTGCTTTGAGTAGCACAGAGTGCCAGTGATTTTTTTTTTATAGTGTTAACAGCGTGACCACGATAAGATCCATGTGGCTTTGTTTTATGGCATTATCACTTTAGCCTGTTTGCTAAAAATTGCTAGAACTGTAACAGTCTTGGTGGGATCTGGTCTCCTGGCTTGCTTTTAATATTGCCTGTTTTGATGTCACTAACAGTTTATCTTGCCATAATGATATTAAGTTCTAAATTACACTTGTATAGGTGGTCACAACTGGTCTAATTTGATCAGCAACTGAGCTTAACATTAAGCAGTGAGATAAACACACATCTTCAGCAGCCAGTTCATGTTCCCTTTGGGAGAGTCACTGGTCACTTTAGAAGTAATTACAGTATTGTTATTTTGAAGCCAAAGTCAATATAACTTAAAAAAAAATTTCCTCTAAAAAGAGCAAGCGTTGTGCTTTTTCAGTCACAAAAGTTTTTGTTAGAAGTAAGGAAATTCCAGGTAAAGTATAGGTCATGGAATTTTCAGTCTCCTTCCTGTTCAGACATTAATCTAGCAAAAAATAATGAAATCCAAATGATGTTTGCCACAACACATTCAGATCTCCACTCTGGCTTGCTCTTTGCCCATGTCTGTGTGGTCAGCATTAGGCACTAGATGGTGCTCAGGTCCTTTAAGACTGGCGTTTGCTGTCGCAAGTTGTACAAATGTAAATATGTATGGTTGGTGGGGATACCTAAGAGAAAGCATGGATGTAACTTATGTACTGTATATTAAATGTGCTGTTGTCTCATGATTAAAGGAAAGGTTGTACTGAATTTCTATTTTTAAACTAGTAAAGAATCATGTAATTTCATGGAATGGGCAAGCAGTTTTGTTTCAAGTGACTCCTGGTACAGGTCTGGGCTGTAAGCTGCTGGGAGGCTGGAAGCCTGCCTTTGCTCCATCCCTTTCCCTTGGCCCCATCATTGCCACTTATTTGTTTGAAAGTAAACTGTGAAAATTTAAAATAGATGCCACTGTTTGCTAAAGCATGATTGCTTGTATACATTTACACATGCTAGCGGATTTGTACGTGTAAATCTCTTTGCAGTTCTGTGTAGACGTTTGCCTTCTCATATGGAAATTTTTGCCTGAATGTGAATATTTAAGTGATCTTGAGCTCTTCCTAAAGGAGAAATGTGCATCTTTCACACTTAGCTGGCTGAAGTCTGGTTTGTCCCTTTATAGGGATAGTAATTATGTCTTTACTCAAGTTCTCTCTTCTCTTGGTTCCTGATAAGAATTTTTTTTTTCTGGCATAAGAGCTGTGGGGTGCCTTTAGGTTTTCTGGTGGTTTTTTTTTTCTTCCCCATCCTGTTAGCTAATTTGCTTGCCTGTAATCTTATGTAATTTTGTATGCATATTATGGCACTAGTTTAAATAATTCTAGTATATTTAGTCATTTGTCTCTATTGGTGCTGAAAACCCTGGGGTTTGCATGTTAGAGTGAAAAAAAAGCTTGTGCGGACTCCTGATTTGCACTCTGTCCGAGAAATGACTGAAACTTCTCCCCGCTGTAGAATTTCTAACTCCATTTAACTCAATTCCTAACACACGCCTCACCTTTCTCTGGTTACAGTGATGTATGGTGGGATGCTCAGCCCTTATGAGGCAGAGGGCTTGACTCTGGGTTTGGTTTCTCTGATCCCTTTGCTCTAGGTGGGTCTGGAGGCTGAAAGGAGTTTGGTAGAAATGCAGTGTGCTGCCCCTGATGACTTTTCCTGCCCACTCTAAGGCAGAGGTGGGCAGGGGAATGTCTTAGGCCAGGTATAGCCTTGCCTTGTGCTACACTGAAGTCTGCTGTGAAATTAAGCTTTCAGTTCAGTGTGTTCTTGGGCAAAACCAAACCAGGATGGAAGAAATTGTAGTGCAGCATTAAATGCTGAAGCACAGTCTACTCAGTGAATCTAGAGTTCACAAATGTTATTTTTTATGCATGGTAGTTTGTATTGATGATTGGCTGATATTGCCATCTGATAGCTAATAACTGCATGCTATGCTAAGCACTTTTCTCATCAGGCTAGTTGCACTTGGGGAATCAGCCAGCACCCGATCACAAATGTGAGATAATAACATAATTTGCAAACAGTGTGTTGTATTTAAAGTAGAGCAGAGCATGTATAGGGAAGGCTTTCTTTTACAATGTTAATTTTCTTTATTTCACTTTCTTTAGGAATCTGCCCATGATTTTAAATTGGGTGAAAGCACAGAAACCAGGTGTTATGGGTGTTAACATAATTACGTCAGACTTTGTGGAGCTGGTTGACTTTGCTGCTACAGTTATTGCATTAAACGACCTTCTTTTAGAAGATGATGAATCTGCAAGTACATCATGATTGCTGTGTGCCACTTGTGCTCCTCAGTGGACATCTTCGAACTATGCTAAATGTTTTATTTATTAAGTGAAACCTATTGTAATCTGTTTACTTAAAAAAAGTTTTCTAGAGGAAACGTGGTTAAACATCACATACAGGCAGGTCCCTTCTCCCAGGGATGTGTGGATCCGAGTGGAACAGAAAGTGCTTTCTGAGTGCTGCTGCGTGTTTGTCTGTGGCTGCGTGTTTGACTAAGTTATGCACACATCTGCTGCAGTCCGGCGCATTGTCTGCCTGCCAACAAGAGGCTGGCCTCCGAAGCAGATGTACCCGATTATGGTGCGCGTCTCCCTGGTGACTGGACTCACCGTGCCCTTGTGTGCACATCCTGCTGATTTCTCAACACCAGGGCTCAAACCGAGGATCGCTGCTGATCCCTTAGCAGCAGTGTGACCAGGCTAGCCGGGATGGTATTGTTCTTGGGCCACCTCAGGCGTAGCTGGGCTCAGCTGGAGGCTGCTGCTGTATTCATTACACTGTTTTAGACACTACCTCTGACTTACTTGAAGAAACAATATTGCCGTTGTTCGGGGGGAAGCTGTTACGCTGTGTTGAATATCTGAACCGTCCTTTGGGCCTGAGAGGCGAAGGCTTGGCATGCCTTGCCTCTTTGGACTCCAGACTCTTCTTCTGGACCTTTTTATTTTATGTTAATACTTTAATACACATATTGTAACCATGTTTAAGTGTGTTTCTTTTGGAGAATATTTCAGTCTTCGAGTCATGAGAATCGTAACTCACAAGCCTGAATTCCTGTTGTGAGACATATGAGAAACCACAGCACAACGTTTTTCTTGCTCGGCACTTGTTTTTTTTCCATCTATCAAGTTTTCTTTGGGGAAAGTCTCTCACCCAGATGGCCTTTCTCTGGAAGGAGGTGGGCTAAGTGGGAGTTTGCTTGGTATTCAAAGAACTGGAGCTGACAGGGACTGCTCAAAACACAAATACTGCATCTCCGATTTGCGATGTGACAATGAATTTTGAAATTAGACCCAAAAGTTGTGGTGGTTGTCGGAGAGCCACAGCTATGGGGGAGAAAATTCCCCAGCCTGCACCTGCTTGTGACAAAGTAAGCAATAGTCACGCAAGCATGGGGAGGCGTCAGTGCTGCTTCTTTCTGTAGTCATACTCATTTTTGTGTTGATTCACAACAAAATGTGACCACTTGTGCTTCAGTCAGTGCAGTCACTTGTTGGTGCTTATCAGCACTTAACTGGCTAGCTGATAGCAGTCCTACACTCTGATTTATCTTTGGTTAAAAAAAAACAACAAACAAACACAGAAGTGACTGGTTAGCAGATACTTCTCTGTTCAATCATCTTCCTAAAGCAACTGTTGGTGCACTAATTATTCAGTGGCTATGAATTTGTATCAATCTCTAGACTATTTATAATGGAAAGGATCATCTTTACAGATATTTTATTCAAAAGAAAAGTGAATCTCCAGATTTATTATTTATTTTGTTATTGTACCCTGTGTCTGCCATCATGGTCTGACAGCCCAGAAAAACCCAAAACCTCTTTGCTTGCTTGTCACAAACTCTGAACTCAGGACAAGTTTATCTAAAGGTTTGCAAACCTTCCATGTGAACCTTGGTTGAGTTCTGAGCAGACTGTAATCTGATTTATCTGTTTGTTGCATGGTTTTCATTAGAGTTCCTTGAATTTTTTTTAACTGAATCTTCCTTCTAAGGGAGTTGGGGCAGAGGTGTGTCTGTCTCTCAAACTGTCTTTCTCCTTTCCTCTTGTGTTTCAGTGACAGGGTGTAAGTCATGAAAATTAGTTTTTGGGAACTAAAGCTCAAGTTTCTAGTTTAAAACTTCCTTTGAAAACACTAGCAGAAGGTTTTTATTATTTTTGGTATTTTTTTCTTGGCGATTAAACTGTTGGAACCTGTTCTGAACAGTGCTATTTTGTTTGCAAAGTTATTTAAAATACCTGGATTTCCCTTAGCTGAATTTTGTGTTAACCTACTTTTCTCATGGCCCCAGCTGAAACTCCGTGATAGTGTTAAATGTATATGTTTGGTTTCAGTGTTCTTTTAGCTGCAAATTGTCTTAGAGCTCAGAACGCAGAAAAACTTGGTTTGAATGCTGATGAGGCAGAAATAATGTTTGCAAGGTTTCCTGCAGAACTGGAGGACAAAGTGAGAAGGTGAAGTGAGTATGGTGTTTGCACTCAACCTTTAATATATTTTGTACTGTATATATCTACCTCAAGAGTTTTATCGGGCTTAACCAATATTTATATTGTACATGCAGAGTAATGACTGTTGTTAGTCCTGTTGTATTTATTTGGATAGAGATGTGATGGTGTTGTAACTCAGGGCTTTGTTTAGATATATTTTTAAGTACAAACTCAGAAGTTTCTCTTAACATATTAGCTGTCAGCTCTTGCCTCTTGAAATAGGACAAAGGCGTGCTAGGTGTTAAGAGTGTTAGTAGAGGGAGAAGAAATGGAAAATAGCTTTAGGATTAATGATGAAGTGTGTGTAGGGAGGAAACCGTTTCTGTAAGTTTGGCCTGTCTGAAGAGACTCGTGTGTCATTTTGGAGCAGTCCATGGTGTTATGCCTCTCTGAGGATCCTGACAGTCTCAATAGTGAGTTGGGCAATTGGCAGGTACAATTGCCTGCGAGAGGATATCTCCAGTGGATACTCTGGGAAATGTTAATGCTGATGTTTAGAATTGGTTTTAGGGTAGACCTAAGTAACATGAGTTACCTTTCTTCTGTTACGCATTATAGCCCATAACAAAGCTATCTGTATAATAGGCTTATCTCTCTGGCACAGCACCACAACATATCCAGATTCCCTCACACTTTGCAAAACAGAGCTCATCTAGACTTGGACTTTGGGCTGCAGACTCTATTTTCCAGCATTATAAAAATAAGAAGGTGAGCTGGGCAGGAAGGGAGAATCAAGGAAGTAGGGCAATAGTTTGCATCCAGTGCCCACGTTGAAGGTGTGGTAGCGTTTAGCCAGGTTTCAAGGCAGCAGTGGAGCGGAGCAGGTCTGGCAGGTGAGTGACAGTGGCCACAGCTCATACTGAGAAACTCAGCCAAGAGTCTGGCCTGTGAGTGGGCTGCAGCTGGGTGGAGTATGGAGCAACTAGCAGCCTGCAAGGTCATGTATGTATGAGCTCGAGGAAAATAAAGACTGGCATGAATGCAGGAGAAGGCTGGTGGTTCCTTGCTGTCGATACAGACCTGCACCTGTTGAATGCAGTGATTGTCTTGCTTCTATCTTTCCTAAGCAGTAGGATTCACTTTTAAACAGTTCAGGTGGAAAACTCCCCCAGAAGAATTGTTCTGAGGAGCATTCTGTAGGTGCTGGGAGAAGAAAAGCCAGGAAACCAGTAGCTGCTTGAGGCAAAGTACTTGAATTGCATATTCTTGAGTAATTACTTGTATGGTTCGTTATTACAGATTCAGGTTCCTTACACATTGTTTTATGACTGTTGTATCTCTTCGTAATGTACAGTCGCTGAATGCCAAGCACACTGGTGGTATGCTTGTTCTCCTGGCACTGATTGCTGCCATGTGCAATTCAAGGGCATACCTGAGGCACAGGAGACCTCTGTTATGTATCTGTGATGGGAAGCAGCAGGGAGAAAGCTGTTAGGAACCATATATGAGTTTTTGGTATCTTACAGTTTGTAGTGAAAACAAAGAGAAGTTACTAGATTTTTACAGACTATTATTCACTGGGCTCCTTATTTGGGAACTACTGTCCTAATAAATTTAACTGTGGAGCTGGGAGTCGTAATGTTGATTTTTTTTTTTTTTTAACAATAAAAGACAGATTCTTTCTGTCCCAATTTTATCTCAAGATCTGAAGGGGTACCAACTTGCATGTGCTTTGTTGTCTGTGATGGAGAGGATCGCACTGAAGACAGTGCTGGCAAGGCAAGTTTCATGGGTGCTGTGGTCAGTAAGAGATGTCAGACTGGGAGTCTTCAAACCAGAAATGCTGACTGCAAAAAGGCCCCTGTTCTGCTAAACAGACTCTTTGGAGAAGAAAGGAATAACAGGAAAATGGTATCTTTGCTCCTGACACATGCAGTTTTCTGCTGTGTTGGTACTGAGTTAATATTTGGAGTTTAGAAAGCACCTGTGCTGTAAAGCTGAAGAAGCATTTTTGAGCAGGGATTTTGGCTCAAACAGAAGTAGGGCATCTGCCAAGATGCTTATCTATTGTTCTCATCTGGTTAAGCCTTTGGAAATATTTTCTTTGTGTACCTGTCTCAGGTGTCAGTTCATTGTATCACGTAGCAGACCAGGGTTTAGGACTTCTATAAATAGAAGACATGGCTGTTTTGATTTAAAATTGGGTTACCCATGGAAGTCTGTGTGACTTGAGGTTTACTTGAATATACAGTGTTTTAACACAGAGTCCATATACGGTTTTAGCAAGACTTTCATCTAAATTTGAGCATATTGTTAGCAACCTCTAATATGCAAATTCTTTGGTCATAGGACCACTGTGACAAAATTTCAGGCAAACTTTCAGTGGTTGTTTAAACGCAGAGAAACTGTCTCATGCGAAGAACAGAACTTACCCAAAACTTCATTCAAAATTCAAATCAGGTCAAGATGTAGTCCTTTCAGCAGTGGAGAAGGTGGTTTTATTTTTTTTTCTGTGTCTGACAAATTCTTATTCCAGCTTTGGTTTTTGACTCAACAGACTGGTAGAAGAGCCAGAGCATATGCTGAAGAGCAAATAAATTTTATGCTAAGGACATGTATGTTGGGCTAACTGTGGTAAGTGATTTACTTAGTCACACCTTCCAGTGATAATCCTATTAGTTGTTTGATTTAGGTTGTTAAATCAGTCTCTAATTTGTATTTTAAAAAATCAGTCCCACTTGTTGAAGAAATGTGTGTACTTCTGTAAGCGTATTTATTTCTCTACAAGTCTTACCAAGTAAACAAGCTTTAACTTTTAATTGTAGGGACTGGCATAGGAATGTCAGCTTTAGACCTGTTTGCTGAATCTAATTGTGTTTTCCCGAATATTTATGTATTGTGTGTTGTTCATTGAAATGGTACTTCTCTTACCCTTTGTTACAACTGTGGTAACTTCTTCTGTATCTCACTTAAATTGAACTGCAATGTATTTTTAGTTCTCAAAAAAGTCTTGATCAGCACATCCTATATAAAAATAATTTTGATGGTTCTTTGATTTTGCTCAATGTCAAATGTATTTTGCAGTTGGATTTTTTTAGTTGTGCTATTTATACTGTGGAAGGGGGCAGAGGGAGCCAGGTGAAGAGGAGTTACCTATTCTCAGTTTATATTTTGTGTGGTTTCTCTTCTCTCTCTTGGCAGTTTGTGCTTTACCCATCTGTCTAGCTCAGTTTTGTGAAACCAGGATGCCTCATTTGAACTGCAGATAAACTTGGGCTGACATCTTGTTTCTTTCAGCTTTACTCTGCACCTGTACCATTGGGGTTTTTAATCCTGAAAATAAAAGTACAACTTGGCGTTCATATTTACTGTGTGTTCTATACAGCTGATCGTTCTGACACATGACCATTACGTTGTGAGTCATTAACATCAATTGAGCTCAGTTACTTTTCTGATGCAGAATGGTGTCATTGAAGGTTGGTTTCTGAGGTGCCACATCTTGCTGCACTTGTGTCCCCCAGGTGGTCAGACTGGGACAACATGCTTATTTCTAGGATGCGCTGAAAGCTTCTCTGTGGAAGCAGTAGTGCAAAGTGATTAGAAAACTGTGTATGCTTGCACTTGCACACATGCACAGTTGCATCTCTGCCTGAACACACTGGGATAAAAGCATGCTAATGCATGGATCCAGTTGTATCTTGAAACGCAAGTGCAATTTCTATGCAGCCTCTACTGCTGTAACACAAGTGATGAAGCTCCATGGTAACACTTGATCAGGAAACGAAATACTGATAATAATTTTCGGAGCATGTGCTAATGTCAGATGCTTGTAACCCAGTGAGATCAGTGAGACCCTTCTTTTGGGTTACTTTCAGCTTGCCTGTCTTGAGAATGTGGGAGTACTGGGGGTGGGGAGAAGGGGAGAATGGATGACCCTGATTTCCTTATGTTTTCAGACACTCGTAACTACTGGGTGCTGTGTTTGTAGAAATTTTTTTTTTTTAAATCCTGAAGGTAGAGCTGGGAGTTCAGAGCCTCATCACTGCTGTCCCTACCTGTAGTCTTAGACCTTGAGGTAAGTGTTTACAAGCCAGACTAGATTAACAGTTGACTCACATACATAGCTAGCCACTGATTTCAGTAGTCTGTCTGAAATGTTCTGTAGGCAGGGAGTGTGCCTTTGGTTTTTACAGAATATCTACCTGTGCAGCCTAAGTCTGATGTGAATAGTATAAGCCGCCAGTGTGTAAAAATGTTGATGGTTAAATAGCTTGCAGTAGCAGTGTTACTTTTTGGGGTTTTTCCCTCCAGATGCTGTTTCCCTAGGCCAGGAATCATATACCTTAGAGGGGACTTTGGGCACAAGAGCATGATTTCATCATATTGCTTCCCTAGGGCATTTAAAAGATATATCTTTTTTTCAGTTTGCGTGCCTTTCAGCAATGCTGCACAAGGGCACGCATGCATATACGTGCGCATATATGCACAAATTTAGATACCTTTTATGAAGCATATAATGAGACTGCAAAAACTAGACGTGTTCTGCGACAAATTTGTGCATGCCCTTTATACCTAGTTTCTTTGTTGCCAGAAACCTGTGATTAGCTGTTCAAACAGAATCACTCCTGAATTGCACATGGCTTAGTATTTGCCTCTTAAGAGGTAACTGCTGAACCTGCATGCTGATTTTTAGCAGTGCAGGATAAACTCTTACATGCTCTCTGAAGGAAAGCCATCTTGAAACCCTGTGTATGTTGCTAACTGCTCTCATTGCACATGTAGCTGGAAGGTGAGCAAAATGCTGGCAGGCTCTGGAGGTGAGTAATGGTAGTGTCACCAATTCTTCTGATCAGTTAGGTGACACACCAGTCATTTGCATAGACTAGAAAAGTATTTGACCGAAAAACTTCTATCCAATTTAAACGTAGTAAGTGGGCTCAGTTTGTCAAGTTCTCAGGTGAGCAAATGCTGGAAAAAGAGACCAGGTGATTTTTAAACTACTGCTGGTTAGCAAGTCCAGCTGCTCTTCTCAGGGATCCAGACTTTGATGCTTGTTTCTGCTCCGAACAGCTGATAGCAGTGCTTACTACCTGAGTCCAGACAAAGTGGAATCATCTGGAGAAGACAGCGAGAGTGACCAGGATCATTAACAGGTAACTTGCTGTATGGATAAACTGTTAAGATAAGCATGCTTAAAGTCAGCCTTCCCTCATTTAGAGATTTGCTTTAAATGAAAAGCAAAGGGTGCTTAGAGTAAAAAATGGCTGGTTGTTTTTAAGTCCTTTCTCATATCTCTTATCTGCAGTAGAAATAAATATACCTTAGGGGAAGAACTGCAGGATGATGCAGGGTCTGTCTGAGGTTGAAGCTACCATCAGACACATAGCTGTGTAGACCTATATCTGCAGGTTCAACAAGAGTTTGGCCTCAGTGAGTAGGTACTGTTCTTCTCAGCGACCAGTGAGAACCTGTGCCTGTGGCAGAACTGTTTACATGGCCAAATTTGTGAACTGAAAAGGTTTCAGCATAACCACCTGTGGGCTGAAATTGTGTACAGTTGTGAATTAGGTAGTACTTCAGAGAGGTGAATGCTTCTCTTGTCTACTCTAACTTTTTTGTTGTTGTTTTCGGTAGTTTAAAAGTAAGCCAAACTTGTTTTTTGCAAGATACCATTGCTTAGCCTGGCATCTAATTTAGAAGCAGAATTGGTACAGGGGTGATTTTGTGCTGCCGTATCTGTAGTGAGTAGTTTTTTGGTGGAAGAAAGGAAGTGACCAGCAGTACCTTAGGCACTGGTGCTTCAAGGTAGCTAGCTGGTAGTTGCTTAGATTGGAAACTGTATGACACAGTGTTGGCACAGAGTGTCCCTTTATAATTGAGGAACACACCTGCTGGATGGACCTTTGAAATAGTTCTGGTGACTCAGGAGATGGTGAGCAATGAATGAGTAGGTCTTCATACAAAGAAGAAATGGCTTAAAAGCTTGACTGGTGTGTGCAAAGCCCAGATAGTATCTCATGCTTGGGTTTGAAAGGGTAATTTCTGTGTTTGATCAGAGTTGTAGATGGCTTTGGTGTTTCATCTCTGTTATAATCACAAGGAAGTTTTGATGCTGTTAGTGGCAGATACTGTTGGGGTTGCTCAGCAGAGAGGCAGACAAACATCCCTCCCAGCCCTTCACTTCATACTGCAAACAGCACCTTGGCACTTCAGATGTTTTTGTAACTCTAAGACCAATTTCTCTTAGGTTGAAAATTTGAGAATGCAAAGTGCAGAAGAAATTGAGAGCTGAGTTGTTTTCTATCATGTTGCTTCTTGCAAATACACTTGAAGAAAAGGGAAATAAAAGACTGCCTGAGGGGATGTTCTCCCTGCATCAAAGTCATCATCTGGCAGACTGGGTGGAGAAAAACGTACATTGTTTGGTGAGCTCTGTGTAAATGAGAATTAAAGATGGTAAAAATATTTTTCTTGAACTTTCTGCCACTGAGCATTTGCTTTTCTTTTTGCTTGTAGCAACT